CTAACCCTGTATATCATTCAAACCATCTTAGCATGACAAACCAGAATATATATGATTTAGGGGTGGGGATCTTGACCACTTACAAGATATTAGAACTTTCTTAAATGGCAGGGGGTGGGGGTGACCCCTGGGGACTAACCCTGTATTTCATTTGATGTGCTTTATCATGACAAACCAGAATATATATGGTTTAGGGGTGGAGATCTCGACCATTTACAAGCTATTAGAACTTTCTCAAATGACAGGGGGTCGGGATGACCCCTGGGGACTAACCCTGTATATCATTCAAACCATCTTAGCATGACAAACCAGAATATATATGGTTTAGGGGTGGGGATCTTGACCACTTACAAGATATTAGAACTTTCTTAAATGGCAGGGGGTGGGGGTGACCCCTGGGGACTAACCCTGTATTTCATTTGATGTGCTTTATCATGACAAACCAGAATATATATGGTTTAGGGGTGGGGATCTCGACCATTTACAAGCTATTAGAACTTTCTCAAATGGCAGGGGGTTGGGATGACCCCTGGGGACTAACCCTGTATATCATTCAAACCATCTTAGCATGACAACCCAGAATATATATGATTTAGGGGTGGGGATCTTGACCACTTACAAGATATTAGAACTTTCTTAAATGGCAGGGGGTGGGGGTGACCCCTGGGGACTAACCCTGTATTTCATTTGATGTGCTTTATCATGACAAACCAGAATATATATGGTTTAGGGGTGGGGATCTCGACCATTTACAAGCTATTAGAACTTTCTCAAATGACAGGGGGTCGGGATGACCCCTGGGGACTAACCCTGTATATCATTCAAACCATCTTAGCATGACAAACCAGAATATATATGGTTTAGGGGTGGGGATCTTGACCACTTACAAGATATTAGAACTTTCTTAAATGGCAAGGGGTGGGGGTGACCCCTAGGGACTAACCCTGTATAACATTTGATGTGCTTTATCATGAAAAACCAGAATATATATGGTTTAGGGGTGGGGATCTCGACCATTTACAAGATATTAGAACTTTCTCAAATGGCAGGGGGTCGGGATGACCCCTGGGGACTAACCCTGTATATCATTCAAACCATCTTAGCATGACAAACCAGAATATATATGGTTTAGGGGTGGGGATCTTGACCACTTACAAGGTATTAGAAATTTCTTAAATGGCAGGGGGTGGGGTTGACCCCTGGGGACTAACCCTGTATTTCATTTGATGTGCTTTATCATGACAAACCAGAATATATATGGTTTAGGGGTGGGGATCTCGATCATTTACAAGATATTAGAACTTTGTCAAATGGCAGGGGGTCGGGATGACCCCTGGGGACTAACCCTGTATATCATTCAAACCATCTTAGTATGACAACCAGAATATATATGGTTTAGGGGTGGGGATCTTGACCACTTACAAGGTATTAGAACTTTCTTAAATGGCAGGGGGTGGGGGTGACCCCTGGGGACTAACCCTGTATTTCATTTAAAGGGCTTTATCATTTAGAACATTTTCAATTAAAAAGATTGTGTCTATCACAAACTGTTTTCAATTTATAATCATTTGAAAATTTTAAAAAATAAAATCCCATAGGGTTCTATAGTAAAACCCTCTTTTCATTTTGCCCCTCAAAGTACCCCTTTATAAACCCCATTGCACAAACAAAACCCTGATTGCACCACTAGACATGTTAGTCTAACATATTGTGAAACCCTAAGTTAATCTGACAAGCGGTTTTGGAGAACGGGTGCGGACAAGTTCAAATTTAAAAGCGGCGGAAGAAGAAGAAGAAGAAGAAGAAGAAGAAGAAGAATAATAATAATAATAAGAACTGAGCAAAAACAATAAGTCTTCCCAAACTTCGTTTGGGAGACTTAAATATCATACTATCATGTTCTCGTCCTGAATATGCACTTAATTTGCCACTGGACTTCATCTATCATTATCATCATCTGGCACATCATATATTGAATGGTATTTTGACCACTGAAAAGGCAGGACTGCAAAGAAATGGAAAAGGAATCAATATATCGGGGTATATATAAGTATATGTTTATATAAGAATTTTGCAAGACCGTATTTCTTTTTTGTCGATGAGAAGGTTTAATATGAATTTTGTTTCATATGAACAAAAATAAAATCGACCAATAGTTGTGATCAATTAGTACCCACTGAAGCAACTTCTGTAATTTTTTTTTTTCAATCCACCATACTGTACAAATTATCAAATATATTGTCAATTACTAAGTTCAGAATTTTTATGATAATGTTGTCAGTGAAATTGTTTTTGGAATCTGGAATGTTAGAATAGAATGTAGAAAATATGTAATGTTTTGATATTGTTGCAATACTGTTATTATATATTAATATCAAAGGAGAGGGTTTTTGGTTTTCTAACATCTCCTCGTTCGTGAATGATATAGGTGTATAAGTGGAAATCCCAAAATTGATGTGAATTCCAAGTTCATTTGTTTGTCAATCAAAATAACTATTTTGCACATAAAAACAATACTGTTCAAGTCTTTGTATGCTGGTACAACAACATACTTGTTGTGAAGAAAGGACATTGCACCCACAACCTCGGACTCCTTCAGATGGTTATATACATGTATGCTTATAGTTCAAGTTAGTTTTTTTTTTTATGTGCTTCTGAATGTGTGACTGAATATTTTTAATCAACTCAGTGACCAGTTAAGATTCATCTAGATGATACTTCACCCCTATTCTAGCATAGTCCTCAACTCCACTAATCGGCAACCTGAAGTTCTTTTGCCTGTTGATAGGATGAAAAATATCATATCTGGTCTTTGGCTAACAACTCTTTAAGTTGTTCCTTTTTTACAAGGTCAAGGTTCCCTGTAATGACATTGCCAGAATGACTATAGTTGTATAGGGACAATGAACAAGAGCAATCTAGAGGTTTGGATTTCACATCCTTGAGGATAAGGGTCTCTGATACCTTTTTATGGTTAGAAATCTTGGATGCAATTGGTTTGGTATAGGTAAAGCAGACTTTTAAGAAAATTCAAATAGAACTTAGCATCATTATACAGTAATATTAGAACATATTGTTGTTAATTCATCAAGTAACATTCAAACAAGAACTATGACTTGTAATTTACCAGTCATTGAATTAAAGATAAATTTTTCATTGGTTATTTAATTTTAGAATTACCTTCAGTAAGGTATAGTTTATTTAAAAATCTTTTTTTAAAAACCACAATTGACAAAAGACAATTAATGGAATCCTCTTTATATTGTTTCTTTCATGAAAACCATTCCTGGTTATAAAAAAATAGCTGAAATCAGTTACGAGTTAACAGTTGTATATGACTGTATAAAAAAAAAGTCTTAACTAAAATATATATTAAAACTCTTTAATAGCCTATTATCACAATTTATGAACCCTGTTCATTACAATTAATTACCAGAAACATACATATTTCATTAATGCTCATGTTTTTCAAATTAAAACTTTCCTCTATGAGCAATTTTTATTGACAATTGAAGTTACATAAGCTGTGTATTATCTAAATCATACCATATAAAATTCTGGATGATAAAAAGTGAAATATAACAAAATTTTCAAGTATTAATTCAAATCACTGAAGAGTCTTATTATTAAAACATGTTTTTGTTTGTATTCCACAGAGAATAAGAAAAAAATGATATTTCATCTTGATGTGTTATTATGTTTCAACTGTGCAGAAGTTGCATTAAACATAAAAATTATAAACTAGAATATAAAATCATGATATCAAAAACATGTTTTATTCCATATCTTTTGTTTATTAAGTTACAAGTACATTTTTAATACCAATGTAAATAAACACGTCAAAATTAATACCGTAGATTCAGAAATTATTGTGATGTTTTTATTAATGCCTTAAATGTGACAGTAAAAGGTTTGCAGTAATAAAAACTTGCATTCATAATTTCAGTAGTGATTTTCCTTCGAAAGACTTTTGCAATCACATTAATTAGAATTAGCATTTTTACCAATGGTAAAGGATTTGCAATAATAAATGCACACATTAATTTTTGAATTTATAGAACTAAAACATCATACACAGTAAATAGTTGAAACAATATCATGGAAAATAATCCTATTATTTACATATCAAAAAATGTATCTACAAAAGCTTCAATATATCCATGAAAAGAACAAACTAAGACATTAATTAGTTATCAATTAATCTTCAAAACCAACTGAGAAATACGATGCATGTAAAAACAAATTTGAACCTTAATCCCAATTTGCTTTTCTGTCAAAGAACTTTCAGTTTCGGTCATGACTGGAAAAATTGACTGTTTCCAGATCCTTGCATTAATTAAATTCCCAAAAATTGTTGTCATGATTTATTTCCTTGTGTTTAGACATATTCAAAAGGTTATTCAAATGTAAACAATTGTTCAGATTTTTCTTTTCTATTCATAATGATTATCAAGACCATTTTATGAAAAACATTTGTTAAATGCTTAACCATAGCCAAATTAGTTACTTTTGCAATGAAGTATCTGCTGTGAAAAAGGTTATCTTGTCAAATGTTTGAAGTCTTTCCTTTTACTAAAACTTAAAATCCCAATTTCTGTCAACAATTTTTCAACTGAGATGGAAAACAAAATCCAACCAAATTAATTGCTGCCTCGGTGAAAGTGAATTGCTTAGCCCGACTTTTTCTATGTATATCAAACAAAGAATTTTTTTATGAATATTTACCAAGAATCTTCAGAGCTAAAAGTATAAAAGGAAAAATATGTTTTCACGAGAAAGGTGCACTGAAATGAATAGCCAAAACCATACAACAATGTGTCAAGTTTTTTTTAGTAGTTTCTGTAGGAAAATAAAGATTACTCTAAAATTTTGTATAAAAACCATAAGGTATGTAAACCTGAAAATTTTTAAACAAATACTGTCTCAATTCTTCTTTCTTTAGCATCCAAATTCACATACTAAGAGCTAGAATGTTATTCATTTATCTTTTGTTAACTATATTTCATAAATTCAGCTTGATTTTCTTCTCCTCTTCTTTTTGCTGCGTTTCTTTACACTTTCATCACTACTAGAATCTGATGAAGATGATGATGATGAACTGTCTGAATCACTGTCTGAGGATGAGGAAGAACTTGTATCACTGTCTGAACTGTAAAATTAAAGAACTAGAGGCTCTAAAGAGCCTGTGTCGCTCACCTTGGTCTATGTGAATATTAAACAAAGGACGCAGATGGATTCATGACAAAATTGTGTTTTGGTGATGGTGATGTGTTTGTACATCTTAATTTACGGAACATTTTTCCTGCTTACAATTATCTCTATCTATAATTAACTTGGCCCAGTAGTTTCAGAGGAGAAGATTTTTGTAAAAGATTACTAAGATTTACGAAAAAATGGTTAAAAATTGACTATAAAGGGCAATAACTCCTAAAGGGGTCAACTGACAATTTCGGTCATGTTGACTTATTTGTAGATCTTACTTTGCCGACATTTATTGTTTTTTACAGTTTATCTCTATCTATAATAATATTCAAGATAATAACCAAAAACAGCAAAATCACCTTAAAATTACCAATTCAGGGGCAGCAACCCAACAACGGGTTGTCCGATTCATCTGAAAATTTCAGGGCAGATAGATCTTGACCTGATAAACAATTTTACTTCATGTCAGATTTGCTTTAAATGCTTTGGTTTTTGAGTTAAAAGCCAAAAACTGAATTTTACCCCTATGTTCTATTTTTAGCCGTGGCGGCCATCATGGTTGGTTGACCAGGTCACGCCACACATTTTCAAAACTAGATAACCAAATGATGATTGTGGCCAAGTTTGGTTTAATTTGGCCCAGTTGTTTCAGAGGAGAAGATTTTTGTAAAAGATTACTAAGATTTACGAAAAATGGTTAAAAATTGACTATAAAGGGCAATTACTCCTAAAGGGGTCAACTGACCATTTCGGTTATATTGACTTATTTGTAAATCTTACTTTGCTGAACATTATTGCTGTTTACAGTTTATCTCTATCTATAATAATATTCAAGATAATAACCAAAAACAGCAAAATTTCCTTAAAATTACCAATTCAGGGGCAGCAACCCAATAACGGGTTGTCCGATTCATCTGAAAATTTCAGGGCAGATAGATCTTGACCTGATAAACAATTTTACTTCATGTCAGATTGCTTTAAATGCTTTGGTTTTTGAGTTAAAAGCCAAAAACTGAATTTTACCCCTATGTTCTATTTTTAGCCGTGGCGGCCATCTTGGTTGGTTGACCAGGTCACGCCACACATTTTTAAAACTAAATAACCAAATGATGATTGTGGCCAAGTTTGGTTTAATTTGGCCACGGAGTTTCAGAGGAGAAGATTTTTGTAAAAGATTACTAAGATTTACGAAAAATTGTTAAAAATTGACTATATAAAGGGCAATAACTCCTAAAGGGGTCAACTGACCATTTCAGTCATGTTGACTTATTTGTTAATCTTACTTTGCTGAACATTATTGCTGTTTACAGTTTATCTCTATCTATAATAATATTCAAGATAATAACCAAAAACAGCAAAATTTCCTTAAAATTACCAATTCAGGGGCAGCAACCCAACAACAGGTTGTTCGATTCATCTGAAAATTTCAGGGCAGATAGATCTTGATCTGATAAACAATTTTACTTCATGTCAGATTTGCTCTAAATGCTTTGGTTTTGAGTTATAAGCCAAAAACTGCATTTTACCCCTATGTTTTATTTTTAGCTGTGGCGGCCATCTTGTTTGGTTGGCCGGGTCACGCCACACATTTTTTAAACTAGATACCCCAATGATGATTGTGGCCAAGTTTGGTTTAATTTGGCCCAGTTGTTTCAGAGGAGAAGAATTTTGTAAAAGATTACTAAGATTTACGAAAAATGGTTAAAAATTGACTATAAAGGGCAATTACTCCTAAAGGGGTCAACTGACCATTTCGGTTATATTGACTTAATTGTAAATCTTACTTTGCTGAACATTATTGCTGTTTACAGTTTATCTCTATCTATAATAATATTCAAGATAATAACCAAAAACAGCAAAATTTCCTTAAAATTACCAATTCAGGGGCAGCAACCCAATAACGGGTTGTCCGATTCATCTGAAAATTTCAGGGCAGATAGATCTTGACCTGATGAACAATTTTACCCCATGTCAGATTTGCTCTTAATGCTTTGGTTTTTGAGTTATAAGCTAAAAACTGCATTTTACCCCTATGTTCTATTTTTAGCCGTGGCGGCCATCTTGGTTGGTTGACCGGGTCACGCCACACATTTTTAAAACTAGATACCCCAATGATGATTGTGGCCAAGTTTGGTTAAATTTGGCCCAGTAGTTTCAGAGGAGAAGATTTTTGTAAAAGTTTACGGACGACGGACGACGGACGACGGACGCAGGACGACGGACGACGGACGCAAAGTGATGAGAAAAGCTCACTTGACCTTTCAGGTCAGGTGAGCTAAAAATACAAATAAAAAAAAAAACAATTGTTTGGGGTTTTTTTGGTTTTCTATTTTCATTTTATTTTTTTTTTCGAGGAAGGGGAGGTGAGTAAATGTGAAAAATAAATTTTACAGATTAACCAATCACCTAAGGTAAAGAACAGTAAATTGAGATTGTTTGAGAGCATTTTATCAATTTTTTCAATACACTTTGGCATGCTCAATCAAATATCTGGACAGTTTGACAACAATTTATACTCAAATGACTATGCAACAACTCAATTATAAAATGTCTATTTTACTGGTGGACCAAATAAAAGTGTCCAAGGTTAATGATTTTTTTCTGTTACTGAAAAACTATTACATACTTGAAGATCAAATGCATCATGTCATTATGATAATTATACTAATGGTGATAGACTCATGTTACCTATACACATACTATAAATATATATTTAGTAAGAATATCACAGAAGCCTAATACTGAAAGAATTCCACAACTTATAAAATAATCTTTAGTAAAATAATGCATGTAGCATTGAATTTGTATATTTATCTGCTGTTCCAGAAAAGTACAATCTTTCAGTATTTAAATCGATCTAATGCAAAGGTTTCTTCTTTTATTCACAAATCAAACTACCTTGAGCTTGATGATGATGATGAAGATGAAGAAGACTCAGAACTTGTACGACTTGACCTGAAATTAACAAGTAAATATAAATATAGACATGAAAACTAGTGTCATACTTGGTATCCAAATTGGCAAAACTACAATTAGAAAATTTTTTTTTCTATTTCTACCAATCCCAAAATTTAAGTGTTATACCAATAAATTTTTAGATTTTTAGACCTAGTCAACAGCCCTACAACATGTACAAAAAAAATGGAACCCCGTTTGAAACCAGGTTACCTATTAGAGAAGCATCCCTTACTTACCCTTTTAATATATGAGTGGTTGGTTTTATTTTCAATACCGCTATAAGATTACCTAGACCTTTATCCTTGGTCGAACTGACATAGATATATCAAGAAGAGTCCATCTTCTCTTCATTTAGAACAATTGTAAAGAAGGAATCCCTGTTGTAATCTTAAATATGCCATAAAGGTTTTATAGACATAAGGAAAGACATTAAACATAATATCAATATGGCATAAAGGTATAATGGACATAAGGTAAGACATTAAATATAATATCAATATGGCTTTGTGCGATGTAAAATAAATCTAATGTGCATTTGATCAATTCTTATTGGTGGGGATAAATTTTGCTCAAAGCTATAGTTTTATGTTTTTGCAGTTTGTATCTGTCCTTTTTTATTCATCCTTACATTTGTCCTTTTGACTGGTGTCGTTTTAGTATTGTTAACTGGATTTAAATCTCTGACTCCCACTTTTAACATATTTGGTTTGGTATCTCACTTGAGTAAAAACTTCCATTTATATATTTCAAAATTTAAATTGCTTTGTTCCATGATGATATAAAACTTTTCTGTCTTTGTACAGATGATGGCACAGCCAATTCATACTTTTTTTCTCAATTGCCTTCTGAAATGAATTATGTCACCCCCTCCTCCTTCATTAGATGAATGGTCAGTGCCAAAAAGCCTCTTCTACATATTTATCACTTAATGTACATGTACATACCTTTTCTTTTTTCTTTTTCTTTGTTTCTTTTCTGGATTTTGTTTCATTAATTCTTTCCTACAATTATTAAAAGGGATCAAGATATCAAATGAGGTAAATAGTTGCAAAAGAAAACAATGCACATGATAAAATTTTACTTGCAATTCAAATATTTTAAACGATTTTAAATTATAAATGATGATTTGCAATTTGTCAACAAATATGTGATTATTTTTCTCAACCAGTCTGAGATACACCTGTATTTCTATAATTCTACATAAATTTATCTTGAAATTATGATTATAATTATTTATCAATATGGCAGTAACTGTATACATAGTAAGGTTATTCCTTTCTTGTCATCAAATTTTTAAACAGACACCCACTTCTATCGTTGTTTTTTTATGTGAATTAGATATATATTCAAACTGGCATAAGGCTAAAACTTGCAATATCAATTTTATATCCCTTATTTTACAGGTACTGATACTTACAATTTCATTTCTCTTTCTAATTCTTCATCTTTCTTCATTTTTTTAATCATTTCTTTTGTTCTGGATGGACGGTGAACATACTTTCTCTTCCCTGTACATTCAAACGTAAAATGGCCCTTCTCTAAACATTTCTGGCATTTATATTCATCTGCACTGGGTTGGCTGTAAATGTAAACAAAATATTTTTATAGAAAAAAAATAGAACTTAAACATTGTTAAAGCAATGCACAGAAAAATTTTTAAATAAATGTGGATAGTGTCCACATGTGGACACAGATGATGCCCCCACTTGCATATCATATAGTTATAAAGGGACATAACTGAAGAACGGTAAAAGTGACGCTACCCAAATTTGAACTTGATCTTAGTTTTGTGGTAATGAATATTGTGTATAGGTTTCATAATGTTTGGTTGGGGCAAACTTAAGTTACAGAATGGAAACTAAAAATTTTGCAATCTTTCGATGTATAAAGGGGCATAACTCAATAATGGTTAAAGTGACACTACCAAAATTCAACTTGATCTGTGTTTTATCAGTGGAAGTCAAAATTAAACATTGCATTGTATAAAGCATTGATTGTAGTTGATTCAATTATAATCATGGACAAAAGAAGATAACTCCAATTTTAAAAATTCCTTGATATTTAGAAGAAAATAAAAATTTTGCAATTTTTCCATTTATAAAGGGGCATAACTCTAGAACGGTTAAAGTGACGCCACCACATACGTACGTACAGACGGACAAGGGTAAAACTTAATGCCCCCACCGCTACGGCAGGGGCATAAAAAATTAAACACACTTGTAATACCTTATATTGTATATTTTGATCATATAATATATTGTTTCTCAATTTGATTGTATGTCAACAATTTGTTAGAAATAATGTTTTAATTGTTAAATATTCTATATATATATATATATACATTGTACATTTGTACAAGTCTAAATTAAAAACAACCTTCAAACCTATGATTGCGTTGGATAAAAACCGCAATTTTTATACGTGTGCATGCAAAACAAATTTCTTATATTTATATATATATCTGTCTTGTATCATTGTTGAAGTTTTGAATAATGAGCTACACTAGGGACAGCATGATAGCACTTCAACATGTCATCTAGGCAGTTATGAGTGTCGACACAGCACTGAATCACAGAATTTTATTTTTGGTACCATATTATTTTAGGTAATCAATTTCCAAATATTATATTTTTTTAATATAATAATTTAATTTAGATCATAAGATAAATATTCATAGAAAACAAGAATACTATAAATTAAAGGCCAAATAAATGAAAAACAATTATGGCATATAGTTACCATGGTTACCATGATAACCAGTTCGTATAAATTAATGATTACATTTATATTAATATACATTTACAGCTAAATAATTATAAAATAAGGAGATGTGGTATGATTGCCAATGAGACAACTTATCCAACAGATCATAAGTGAAGCGCATTTAAGTCACTTGAAAATATACCAATAATATAAGATTACCAATGAGACAACTTTTCCAACAGATTCCTAATGAAGCAGATTTAAGTCTCTGGAAAATTTACCAATAATATTGTCATCATGGTAGTATATATGATTTTACAATTTTGACTCACTTATCTGCATTTTCGTGCTGAAATCTGATCATATCTATCTTCTGGTTTTACAAAATTTGAAGTAAATTTTTTCCAACATTGTTTTTTTACAATGATTTCAGGATGTAAAATAATAACAATTATCAATCAGACACTTTTTCGCATATAAACTAAATATTTCTATAGAATACATTTAGATAACCATGAATCTAAATATATTATCGTTTCACATCCTATTAACAGATTAATTTTCATTTTAGATGGACTAGAAGTGAAACTGGGAGACAACTGCATGAATTAGTTCCTATTGTAGGTAAGACCCAATTCCACTTGATTATCTGAACCCAACTATAGGGAGAATCATGTCTGAGTTTAGAACCGGCTACAATAGGCTAAATAAATATCTCCATTAGATAGGGAAATCCCTCACGCCATACTGTGAATGTGGTGAAGAGGAAAACACTGAACACTACCTACTAAACTGTCCGATATACCACCAGGAAAGAGAAGAAATGGAAAGACAGCTGGAGATTCAAAACATCAAAATAGATCTTCAAAACCTGTTAGCACCAGCAAGTAAGGAGACATACGAAAGAACAGCAGATATAATTGGAGAATATGTAAAAAGTTCAGGGCGATTTAAAGATTCATTTATCCCTGAAAACCCCCGATCCTGCGCCTAACAAATTAACCAATAAGTACCTTGTGAAAATAATAACTGAGAAATTAAGTACCAGGATGAAAAAATCCAGCACAAAGAGAACAGTTGTGTCATAATATTGACCTTAGGATCAGGATCAGGATTTCAAAGAGATTTTTGCAGATTTTTCTATTAATTTGAAACAGCAATCTTGATAATCATATTGTAATGTTTTTAACACAAATTAATTTCAGGTTTCAAAATTTATTTATCTATGTGTTACTAAGACTTTAAAACTTGTCCAGCTGCACAGGTTAAATTTTTCTTTAATTCGAAGTTCGAGTAAACACAACCATTTTTTTGTCCATTTGTTATGATTAACTTTCAATATACCTTTTACGAAATGACGGGGGTCGAAACGTGAAAGAAGTCATTCTGTTGCTGCAGTTTGATCTTGTTATCTAGCTTAGTGACTCAAAAAACCTTTACTGTCTGATAAAATAAAAAGAAATACGTTTCCCCAAATATTATGGGGAGATAACTCAAATTGAAAAAGAAACTCTGAATCGGACGCGGTTAACTGATTTACAGAATTGCCAATTATTCTGCTCCTTACGGAGACACCTCCACTACGATACTCCATCCTCAGAAGATCGAGAAAAAAATGGCTTTAACTTCGTGATTTCTTTTCTTATAACCAGATATTTTAATGGATCCGAAGGTCGGTATTTATTTTCACTTAAGGTTGGAAAGTGAAACTTTACAAAACTTGAAGTGCCATTACATTTTCATTTATATAAATCATTATTGAGACAGAAATAAATAGCTTTTATGTGCAGTCTTATGTTAACTGTCAGCACTTGTGAGCAGGGTAATATGATAAGTAACAATCCTCTTTTTTCATTATCTTGAAATGTATTTTATTAAGAATTTCAAGCCCGGCAATGTTTTACGTATCCAAGTCACAGTTACATTGTATAATACATTTGACGCTTAATCGAAATAAATCTATCCATCAACTTTTACATGTGCTATCTTATATTAGCTTTTCTTGCATATAAACTGTGCCAAATTGCACCCATTATAACAGTTTTTCCACATTCGTTTATTTAAGAAACAGACATTTTTTTATTCTGTCGGTTTATTTGGTAGAGTGTATTTTTATTTAAGGTGGCTCGGCCCTTTAACAGTGCGCATATTTTAACGCATGTTACTAACGACGAGCGCCTTGGAAACGGTCGCCTTGAGGGGTTTTCTCAAAAATAGTTTTGACGACATTGGAACGCGGGCGTGTATGAAAGCACCCTTTCCCGATGTCAACAAACCATGCAAAACGTTCTACAAAAGCCACAAAACAGGAAATACGTACGGTCAGGACTACAGAGTGGTTTGTTCATTTTTCACATAAAAATGACAGAATTATACATGATATATTAAAGCATAACATTTAAAAAAAGAAAATATAAATATTGACTTGTACGACGGTATCTGGTGCGTTCGCTCCAAAAACACATTCTCACCCTACACGTTCGCCCCTTGGATCCGTTCGCACCCTATTTTCATTTAAATACTGGTTGAATATATCAAAAGATGTCTTTTAGATGTATTAGTATATATATGAAAATATTTTGCCAATGACGCAATGTTTAACCGTAAACAAAGGATAGCGATGTAAACTGCATGTCACCTTTCGGCTTTCAAAAACAAGTAAAACCCATATAGTATGCTATAGTATAACGGCATCGGGGTTCATCTGCACGCTATAAATAATAAATAAATAAAACAATAATAAATAAGCTTTATTTAGAGTCGGCAAAGTGTACAAACAGAGTCAACATAAGCTCTAATGAGCTTTTAACCGTTTTATCCGTTTGGCGTTTTTTAACATTTTGTTACCGTCATAAATCTATTTTTTACTTGAAATATCTTCATTTCCAAGTATTGCTGGGATCTTATTCCGGAGTATGTGAAATATTTTCCCACTGCAAAATTTTGATAATATATGTAGTTACGTATTTTTTATTTGCCAAAAATTTTTGAACATAACAATTCCGGAGTATGGGAAATATTTTAACACTGCAAAATTTTGATAATAGTTAAGTATTTTTTATTTTCCAAAATTTTTTTTGGACATTACAATTTTCAAACAAAGACTAAATACTTGACAGTCACACATAACATTTTTATTTAAAGATTTATATACTTTATCAAATAATGGGCACGAAAATATCTAACAAATTTTCTCGTATCATGATTCTATGAAATTTGGAACTCTAGTACTATAACATGAGACCTCGGGGCCAATGTTTTCTATTTATAATATTTTCCTTTTACTTATTTTGCTATTTGTTAATTTTCTATTTTCTGTTGTATCTATCAATATGCCAACAGAGTTCGCATTAAAAAAAGAAAGAGGAAATATCAGCGTAAAAACTTAAATAATTGATTAAGAATGAGTTATCATAAAAGACTAACGGAACTCGAGCAACACATTTTTTGTTTTACGCAGAAAAAAAACCGGACATTTCAATAATTTGCAGTTTTCAACCTTTGATCATGTAGATGAAAGAAAATTGGTCAATAGCAACCGGGACCTTACTAGTATTCCGGCCTTATATATCGGTATATGATATTATCCCTCAATACCACATGCTTTGCGGCGCAAAATATTTGGCTTGACCAAGTCGGGATTTTGCCTAGGACACACATCCGCAGTCTATCGGGCAGTTCCAAACACTACCAGTTAAAGACATTATATATGCACAAAATCTATACTACTTACTAGGTTCAGGAAAAGTTGGGATTGTAATATTAAAACTCCGCCCAGTACACAGGGACGCTATAATAGTCGGTGATATTGGCAAACTTTAACTCCTGTCTTACTTTTTGACATGCGTTTTTTTCAAAAGGGAAGCTAATAAGGAAAGTTCTTGATTTAAAAAAATTAAAGTGGAGTGTGTCATTGCGGCAAGAGATATGCATGACAACTTTTTTAATGATGTGTGAACACTGGTTTGACCCACCTGCTAGCTGCAAAGAAACGTAATTATCGGCCTATGATGATAATATGGAGATGCAATTTTTTATACCTTTTCATATATTGAGTAGGTAAAAATGTAACCTTTTCCCTATTATGCTTGGGTTTCATGTAGTGTAATGTAAGACTAGAATACCAAAGTCTTAAAAGAGAAAATTTGGTTGATAAAATCACACCCGGGAACACCAAGAAAGATGACAGACGAAGAAGTTATGGAAACTTTATTGACCTTATCATATATTTTTGATAGTTTTCCCGACCTTTTCACATATTTTCAAGCTTGAAAAGGTGACCTATTCCAGCGGCACGTCCCATCACCTTGAATATAGGAAGTGCCCCCTCCCCCACCCCACCCGAGATAAATACGCAGCCTCGTATGGTAAAAAGGAGGAATTTTGTCCATACCAAGCATGCATTGTCCATTCATTTTCTAGCGACAGTCCATATAATTTTTGTGTTAACAAGAGTGCACAAGCTGAAATGTCTCACCTGCTTTACTAATCATCATTCATGATTGGTTTTATGTTGATATTCCTAAAGATAAAGTTTCACTACAGGTATCAGAAAAACTTAATATTATCAATGATCATGAAAATGATCAGATAAACCAATCCAAGCCAGCCTTACACAGTGGCGGAGCCAGAATTTTTCATGAAAAGGGGGGGGGGGGGTGACTGTCTAAGAGAGGCCTGCTCCAGTCATGCTTCAGTGATTCCCTATATAATCAACCAATGGGCCCTCCCCCTAAATTCGCCTCTGTTACAATCACCCCATCAACCAAATATTTTAAACATATATATAGTATGCCAGTAACAGACAAAACCATGAACATAAGGTTAAGTTCAGATAGACCCTGCAAGACAGGCATATTTGTTTTTCATTCATTATTTTGTACATAAATATGCCATTAGTTTTTTCATTTGAATTGTTTTAAATTGTACATTTGTCATTTGGAGGCCATTGTCGAAGGTTGTATGATGACATTTAGTTGTTTATTTCTGTGTCATTTGGTCTCTTGTGGAGTGTCTCATTTACAATCATATCACATCTTTTTACTTAATATTTCAATATATACATTTAATAATCATACCATACACCAAATATAACAAGAAATGATTGTAACAGGATGCTGTTACGAAGTCTCCCAAACGAAGCTCCCATAATTCGTAATTCCCAGGGTCGCCTGACATTGGGCAACTTCCAGTGAAAATTGGTTTGGTCCAGTAAAGTTATATGCATTAGTGATGCCTGGGGACTAACCTTGTATATCATTCAAATCATCTTGGCATGACAAACCAGAATACATATGGTTCAGGGGTGGGGATCTCAACCATTTACAAGATACTAGAACATTGGGGGTGAGGAAGAACCCCTGGGGACTGGCCCTATACGTCATTCAAATGTTCATTACATGACGAACAGGAATATATATGGTTTAGGGGTGGGGATCTCAACCATTTACAAGATATTAGAACTTTCTCAAATGGCAGGGGGTGGGGGTGACCCCCTGGGGACTAACCCTGTGTTTCATTTGATGTGCTTTATCATGACAAACCAGAATATATATGGTTTAGGGGTGGGGATCTCGACCATTTACAAGATATTAGAACTTTCTCAAATGGCAGGGGGTGGGGGTGACCCCCTGGGGACTAACCCTGTGTTTCATTTGATGTGCTTTATCATGACAAACCAGAATATATATGGTTTAGGGGTGGGGATCTCGACCATTTACAAGATATTAGAACTTTCTCAAATGGCATGGGGGTCGGGATGACCCCTGGGGACTAACCCTGTATATCATTCAAACCATCTTAGCATGACAAACCAGAATATATATGGTTTAGGGGTGGGGATCTTGACCACTTACAAGGTATTAGAACTTTCTTAAATGGCAGGGGGTGGGGGTGACCCCTGGGGACTAACCCTGTATTTCATTTGATGTGCTTTATCATGACAAACCAGAATATATATGGTTTAGGGGTGGGGATCTCGACCATTTACAAGATATTAGAACTTTCTCAAATGGCAGGGGGTCGGGATGACCCCTGGGGACTAACCCTGTATATCATTCAAACCATCTTAGCATGACAAACCAGAATATATATGGTTTTGGGGTGGGGATCTTTACCACTTACAAGATATTAGAACTTTCTTAAATGGCAGGGGGTGGGGGTGACCCCTGGGGACTAACCCTGTATTTCATTTGATGTGCTTTATCATGACAAACCAGAATATATATGGTTTAGGGGTGGGGATCTCGACCATTTACAAGATATTAGAACTTTCTCAAATGGCAGGGGGTCGGGATGACCCCTGGGGACTAACCCTGTATATCATTCAAACCATCTTAGCATGACAAACCAGAATATATATGGTTTAGGGGTGGGGATCTTGACCACTTACAAGATATTAGAACTTTCTTAAATGGCAGGGGGTGGGGGTGACCCCTGGGGACTAACCCTGTATATCAATCAAACCATCTTAGCATGACAAACCAGAATATATATGGTTTA